TTTTTATGTTTCACTTTTTTTTGGTGTTCTAGAGGGCACACGATTTAGTAGGTTTGCTTAATATGTGCTTTTAGTGGTCGGTGTTCTCTTGTTTTTTTTTTCCATGATGGATAGAAGCAGTAAAAAATCCAAAGCTGAGTTTTCTGAAATACATGGCAAGTTGCCTGGATGTTGAAAAAAACTGCATGCTTTTATAAGCCCTATGAAACATAATTTCACTTCTATAACCTATGTCTATGTCTTTATAATGTAATAGGTTTGATTTGGCTAAGGAAAAAATACTGGCAAGCCTTTCAGCTTATTGTGTTTGTTCCCCGAAAACTAAGGAACATTGACTCTTTCCCATGGCATAAACAGCCAAGCTAACGTCTAAAATACACATCCTGTATTCTGTCAGTAGATTTGATTTACTTTTTTAATTAAATTAATATTATGTTTGTCTGGAAAAAAAATCTTTCTTCCTGCAAACTTAGCTGTAAGTTCTATATCTGAAGTGGCAAGATGAGAAAATGTTGATTTATTCCATATCGAAGCTCCTCAACTAACTAACTAAAGTAACTGGCAAAAGCAAATGAATGAACCATGAAGCATGAAGAAAGTATACTAAAATTATACAGGGAGTGCAGAATTATTAGGCAAGTTGTATTTTTGAGGATTAATTTTATTATTGAACAACAACCATGTTCTCAATGAACCCCAAAAACTCATTAATATCAAAGCTGAATATTTTTGGAAGTAGTTTTTAGTTTGTTTTTAGTTTTAGCTATGTTAGGGGGATATCTGTGTGTGCAGGTGACTATTACTGTGCATAATTATTAGGCAACTTAACAAAAAACAAATATATACCCATTTCAATTATTTATTATTACCAGTGAAACCAATATAACATCTCAACATTCACAAATATACATTTCTGACATTCAAAAACAAAACAAAAACAAATCAGTGACCAATATAGCCACCTTTCTTTGCAAGGACACTCAAAAGCCTGCCATCCATGGATTCTGTCAGTGTTTTGATCTGTTCACCATCAACATTGCGTGCAGCAGCAACCACAGCCTCCCAGACACTGTTCAGAGAGGTGTACGGTTTTCCCTCCTTGTAAATCTCACATTTGATGATGGACCACAGGTTCTCAATGGGGTTCAGATCAGGTGAACAAGGAGGCCATGTCATTAGATTTTCTTCTTTTATACCCTTTCTTGCCAGCCACGCTGTGGAGTACTTGGACGCGTGTGATGGAGCATTGTCCTGCATGAAAATCATGTTTTTCTTGAAGGATGCAGACTTCTTCCTGTACCACTGCTTGAAGAAGGTGTCTTCCAGGAACTGGCAGTAGGACTGGGAGTTGAGCTTGACTCCATCCTCAACCCGAAAAGGCCCCACAAGCTCATCTTTGATGATACCAGCCCAAACCAGTACTCCACCTCCACCTTGCTGGCGTCTGAGTCGGACTGGAGCTCTCTGCCCTTTACCAATCCAGCCACGGGCCCATCCATCTGGCCCATCAAGACTCACTCTCATTTCATCAGTCCATAAAACCTTAGAAAAATCAGTCTTGAGATATTTCTTGGCCCAGTCTTGACGTTTCAGCTTGTGTGTCTTGTTCAGTGGTGCTCGTCTTTCAGCCTTTCTTACCTTGGCCATGTCTCTGAGTATTGCACACCTTGTGCTTTTGGGCACTCCAGTGATGTTGCAGCTCTGAAATATGGCCAAACTGGTGGCAAGTGGCATCGTGGCAGCTGCACGCTTGACTTTTCTCAGTTCATGGGCAGTTATTTTGCACCTTGGTTTTTCCACACGCTTCTTGCGACCCTGTTGACTATTTTGAATGAAACGCTTGATTGTTCGATGATCACGCTTCAGAAGCTTTGCAATTTTAAGAGTGCTGCATCCCTCTGCAAGATATCTCACTATTTTTGACTTTTCTGAGCCTGTCAAGTCCTTCTTTTGACCCATTTTGCCAAAGGAAAGGAAGTTGCCTAATAATTATGCACACCTGATATAGGGTGTTGATGTCATTAGACCACACCCCTTCTCATTACAGAGATGCACATCACCTAATATGCTTAATTGGTAGTAGGCTTTCGAGCCTATACAGCTTGGAGTAAGACAACATGCATAAAGAGGATGATGTGGTCAAAATACTCATTTGCCTAATATTTCTGCACTCCCTGTATTAGAAACTTTAAATAATCACCTGATTTTGTTCTTGAAAATCTTTAATTAGAATATTTTTATTTTTTTTAATTTTTTTAAGAAATGTGCCTTAATTTTTTTTAGATAAGTTAATGGAACACTTTAAGCTTTATGATTATACAGGAGAAAAAGGATAGCGCCTCACAATGTTTCCTGGTGATATATGTAAGAGATAATAGAAATGGAAAAATATATGGTGCAGAATTCTTTGCACAGTAGTGGGAAGAATACGAAGTGCTCTTACAGATCTTAGAAGCTTCACTTCTATGAGTGCGACTGGTACAATCCCTGTTTGTGGATTCTTGTATTCTCCCTCAGTTTCAGTCAGTAATACAGGATATGAAAAAGATACAGAACGCACAGACTAATCTAGTGCAGTATGTCTGGATGAGGTTGATGAAACAGTACAATAGAAATGCACTCACATGTTATTGAGCATATAACTTGGCTCCTGAAAGGTAGTGTTGTGTGTTATGACCCCCACTCCAGGATACTAGCGAATGTCAGTCCCCTCCATAGGTGGTATATGCAGCAAAATATAAATAAAAATATAGTGCACATTGTAAAATGTAATGCAAATAAAAAAAAAAATACTTTAAAAGGGATTTTTCTCAATCCAAATAGCACTGATGGCATGTTTCCCACAAAGGAAATTGATGTCCATCAGGTAACGGGTATAAAACAGTAAAGTCCAGAGTGTAGTTAATAAATGCATTAAAAAAAGACTTGGGGGTGGAGTCAGCAACTGAACTGAGCAGACGGGCTTCTGATGAGCTCCCTGCAGAGCAGAACCTTAATACTGATAATATCAGCTTTGACTCATCCAAGTGCTCCCAAACTCAAGGAGAATCATCTCCACAACGAGGGGCCAAAAAAACAAGAAATACTGACCCCAAAAACTTTGGTGGCCGCCGACATATGGGAGCTGCTGTCGAGGCCTCTCTCCAACAAAATCTCCTGATCATCCAGTGAGGATTCCCTGTAGGGCATGGGGATAGAAGACAAATGTGCAATACAGGCTCCCACGCCTCCTGCACCTACTGGAGGCTCCCCAGTAATGGAGAGCACAGAGAGATCTCCTGGACGAGCTCTGACGCAATATCGTGGCTGACATAGGCCAGTTCTGAGAGGAGCTTGGAGGGGTGTCCACATGTCTCTATGATGCGGAGCTGAACAAAGCTGCTCACGAAGCCCGACTGGTCTTCAAAACAAACTGCAGGCGTTACAACTCAAACACGTCCTGGTTCAAGACTGCATGTCAACTATGGAGGACAGGAGACGATGGAAGAATGTGAAGGTGCGTGGCCTAGCTAACAACATAGAGGCTGCTAAAATTCCACCCTTCTTCAGGAGTCTGCTGATTAACCTCTTTAATGCCAAACAAGACAAAGCTATGCTGTTTAATTGGCTGCTACAGAATACCAGCATCACCTAAAACCACAGTAGAGAATAGCAGGGATGTTATTATCCGCTTCCAGAATGGGCAAGATCGCCTGACTTTTATGACTTTTATGGTTTGCAACAAGTAACCCTACAGGTTTTAAGATCACTCCTAAACATTTTATTCAGATTTGTCCAAGGCCACATTGGACTGGCGGAGAGCCCTGTGGCCCCTTACTAAGTAGCCAGCTACCCACAAAGTGCCATACAAATGGGGTACTCCAC